AAGTGGTCCAGATTTGCGGCATGGAGCTTAGCCCACGACTAGAATCCACATGACACAGGGATATTAGATATACTGAAATACCTCTTTCACCTGCGATACTCAAGTTCCATCACTGTTAGTTCTATCACCGTGCATCTAGCAGTCATAGCAGCCATTCATCCGCCCACACAAGGCTACTCTGTTTTCTCCCACCCTTCTGTTAAAAAGTTCTGGAAGGACATACTTAATCTGAATACCCAGCATAGAGACGTAGTACCATCATGGCATCTGGACCTGGTGCTCGACTCAATCATGAGATGTCTGTTTGAACTGCTCATGACCTGCTCGCTAGCCCACCGTCCCATAAAGGTGACCTTTCTCATGACCATTACATCGGCCAGGAGAGTAGGAGAGATAGTGGCACTCATGACGGACCTGCCTTACACAGTGTTCCACAAGGACAAGGTCATCCTTAGAACCCACCCAAAGTTCCTCCCTAAGATTCCTACTTCGTTCATTGCAATGAACCTATATACTTACCGGTGTTTTTCCCAAAACCCCATGAAGACAGCACCCAGGCAGCCACGTACACATTGGATGGTTGCAGAGCTTTAGCTTTTTACTTGCAACATATGAAAGGCTTCTGAAGAATACCATGATTATTTGTGTACTACATGAACAGGATGAGGGGCCAGCCTGTTTCCAAGCAACGTATATCCAAGTGGATTTTCTCATTCATATGATTGGCCTATTCTGTAAAGGACAGGCAGCTGCCATCCGTACTCCACAAGGGCTGTGTCTACCATGGTGACGTTCCTTAAGGGTCTTCCACTTGATGACATTTGCAGGGTGGCAATGTGGGCCTCGACTAGTACTTTTGCCTGACATTATGCCATCCAGTCTTTTCAGGCCTCAGATACTAGATTTGGACAAGCATTACTGTCCAACATTCAACATGGTACCACGGAGCACCCACTGCTATGTAGTCACCTAAGCGGAGCACCCACCCTTGAAGAAGAAGAAGGGAAGAATACTCACCTTGTGCAGTAACTGGAGTTCAAGATGTGTCTCTGTGGGTGCTCCACACCCACCCTCGTTCTCTCTTCTCCGGAAGAGCACAGTCTGGCATAGAGAGGGAACAGAGGGAATGGCCGCTGGCGCATTCTCAACTGTCAGGAGACTGCTACGAAGAATAACCAATCTGGTGTGCAGTGGTACTGACAAACCCAAGTTGAGCACTCAGGGGGACACGTCTTGAAGAGCTCCACTTACTACTCAGGGTGAGTAACCTTCCCTTCTTGTTGATGCCAATAAACACATTTCATGCGTATGTGGGTAAAGGCTCTCTGGGTGTGATTCTCAACTTTACTGTTCTTGGGTAAATAAATTGAAGATATACCAATATAATGCTTTGTGTGAGATAAGAAATAGGCATTTCATTTTCAGGTTTATGGAAAATTTTAGTTTAATCACGAATCCAAAAAGTGTTCAAATCCACGTAGCCGCTACCAAAGGTTCCTCGGCCTAAATTACTGCCATTCCCAAACTGGTTAAGAACTAGTGCTTTTTTTTTGTAAGAAAAAAGGTGATCGTGTTCTGGGGCAAAATTGAGCAAAAAAAAAAAGGGGGGGGGGGGAGAGGCAACGGAAGACGACAAGCTTGTTGAACAAAATAAACCCCACCGCGCTGGGAGCCGGGGGGGAAAAAAAGCCACCGTGCATCCTGTGCAGGCTTTCATCAGGAGCCACCCCACCCAGGAAAACAGGAGCCAGTAAGCATGGGGGAAATGCCATTCCTTTTCTGTGTGCTGGGAAAATAGGTGATGGTACACCCTTCCCAGCGGTACCGTCACAAAAAAAGCACTGTTAAGAACATTTTTCTTTTAACTCCAGATGATTGTTCCTTGACCTATGGGAGATACTGAGGTGGTTCATACAGAATTACAAAAATGAAGATTGGCCTCCATAACTACTATGACAGATAGTTGAGCAAGCCACCTTCCATTGCTTCTCTCAGTATGGATATGCTTTATTGGCTTTCTTATCTTTACTTATCACTAGAGATGCTGTCTGCTGCAGAGATGTAGGTGTAGAGCTATAATCTGTGTAACTCCAACATTCTACCAAACAAACCTGAGCATTGTCTAACACTCCACGTGCTCCCAGTATTTCCCAATTCATGCCCATAGGGATGAACCCTATGGGAGTCCCCATTGTTCATCTTGATTCATGTGGAAGTATGTGTTAATTGGGAAAATGGAAGATACTTCAGGCTATGGTCCTGTAACAAATACAAGTATATTGAAAGATTTGCATGAAGCTTATTGAGTGTATTGGGGCTGTATGTGGGTCCTTGAGTCCACATGAATGCTGAGTTGAGGGATTAGAGTCTTATTTGCCAGATATTGTGCCAATCTTGTTTACGTTTAGTGATGAGATCAGTAGAATAATTTTGGTTATTAGTAGCTGAAAAACATGGAAATGGTTTTTAGGGAGGGGGGATTGTTTAGAAGTCAGTAGCATGTAATTAGAACAATGCAAATGTATTCCCTACAATATGGAAATGTTCATTTAGGTTTTTTGAAGTTTCCTTAACATTTTTTTTCACTGACATGAATGAAGTATACCATCTGCTGTATAACATGCTAAAGGATACTGCTTCAGAAAACTATTTCCTCTCAATTTTGCAACACTTACTACTTGTCAGGAACGATTATTATGTCCGGTAAGAGTGAGCTCCATCTGTTTTTTGCTTTTTATATCCAGTGTCCAAATTCTGGGGTAATGCAAGCTGAAATATTAACAGTGTGGATTTTAGACATATGTTATTTTATAATCTAGGCATGGTTAACAGCTGACCACAAGTTATATTTTATATTTTAAAGAAGTGTTTCAGCATAGTAAATGGTGTTAGTTTTGTTTTTGTGTTCCTTCTTGTATCTCTTAACTCATTGAATTATTCCCCTCTTCTATATTTACAGGGCAGAAAAGTTCTTGTTTTCATAAAATCCACAATACATTTTTGTTCATGTTTTTATTTCAAAACATCTCCATCCCCTTTCAACTGTATATTGTGTCCTTAGAGTATACACTATTATTACTTATATGTCAAGTACCTAGCATAATATTGAATCAGGCAGGAGAATTGGTGTTTTTATATTGTTAAATCATACAACTACAAATACATGTCAGTTATTCCAAGGAACTGGGGCTTTTTTGGTCTGTAGAGAAAATACAGGGAATTGGTTGGTAGGGATGAGAGAGAGAAGTTATTTTTAGTGTTTTTTGAAAAAAAAATCCCTAAACTATTTTTCTTTTTACTAGCTCCACGTTTTTTGTAGTGTTTGCTTCAGTTAGTATTGAGATTTATTTTTCTGGTTCAATGGTAAATGGACTAAACTTCAGATACAACATCAGTTGCTAATAAACAAGTTTAAGATTCTAAATATCGAGTTTGCTCAGCAGAGATTACTGAAGTTAAAATAGAGACCAGTCTGTGTTTCACAGTACAGTTCTTGAGAAATTAACATGTTGTAACTTGTCAAATACTTGCATTATTGCTAACAAAGGCTGACGACCAATCACAACACAAGCATGGTCCTTAAAAATTTACTATGTGAACCTTAGATTATCATAGTTAATCTGCATTTTCAAAATTGAGCCCGTTTTCAGCTCATAAATTTGAGAAATGCTCACTGTTCAAGCTGATATTTTCCCTCGTGTGATTTTGTCTTTCACTGACTTTTCAAATAAGTTTTCAAGCATAATTATTTAGGTACTTCTGGGAAACAGGTTAGCGCAAAATTAGGTTTTTTTGAAAAACCAGTGTTAGAACCTACCAAAACAAAAGACTGAGTGTTTCTTTGGTAAACTCTAATATGTTCTTGGTTGGAACAGAGCTGTGGGCCTGGAGTCAGGAACATGCTTTTCATTATTCTTATGGTAATCCCTCTAGAGCAGTAATTCCTAAACTTTGGCCCGCAGCCCACCCTGCTGAATGCAGTCCTTTACATGGAGCATTAGCTGACCAACCATGAAGACAAAATGGGTGCATGAGGAGATGAGGGTCTGGATGGGAAGTCAGACGCAGGAGTGGGCTGAACATGCAGGGTCTGGGTGGGGGTAAGGTGCAACAGTGGGCTGAGGGTGGTGTATCTGGCCCGGAGGCTGGGGGTGAGGGTGGAAGCTAGGAGGGAGGTAGGGTGCAGGAGTGGGCTAGGGGTGGAGGGTCTTGCTAGGAGGTTGGATGCCGGAAGGGGGTGGAGGTGGACCATCTGGGTGAGAGGGAGGGTGGAGGTGTAGAATCTCAGCAGAAGAGGGGGTATAACAAGTGCTGCAGATGTGGGAACTGCTCATGAGGGAGATGGGAGGGTGTTTACCTGGCTCTGTGCCTCCTGCCATCCCAGGTAATAGAATGGCCAATGGAAACAGCGGGGAAAGCCTCTAGATGAACAGTTTCCTGTGCTGCTGTTCCCCCAGCCATGAGGGCGGCGGTGGCACAGTAGGAGGGTAGGGGGAACGGAGAGTGGCAGCACATGGAACAACTTCCTTCTTCTGAAAGCTGGATCCAGCCCACGAAGTTCTCCCCCTCCTGCTGCAGCGGGAAGCTAGTGCTGGTGCTCCAGTCTTGCGGGGACTGCAGGGTTGGAGCACCAGTGCAGGTTCCATGCTGCAGAGGCTGAACCGGTGGCCCACCTGCAAGATGATTGTGGACAAGCAGTGGTCCAGGCACCATGCTTTGAGAACCACTGCTCTAGAATAGGCCAAGTTTTCAGACTCTGGAATCAGCCACTTGCACATACTCAGTTAATGTTTGCTTACTGTTAAAATTTCTTAATATATCTTGGCTGAGTGTGTTCCAGTTCTAGGGATTTTCTACATGCTGGTACAGTGATCATGCTCCCAGGCCCCGTTCAGCTTCCTGTTTGTCAGTTATAGAGCAATAAGCTCCAGAATAATGACAGAATGAAAGGGAACAGTTGTTTCCTTTGGATTTGAGGATGGTGTGCCTTGCTAAGATCCAGAAGGACACCTTCCACTGTCTGCTGTTAATTATTGTGTTCACTTCAGAAGCTCTTATTTTTGAATAAGACTTTATATCCCATTACATTAGGCAGCAAGCATATATCATTCACCCTATTTAAAGAGATGGCTACAGTCACTTCTGGCAGTCCTGCAGTAGAACTTTGTCTAAACATTACAGTATGAGTGTCCCAGGTCTAATCCTTTTAGCCATGCTGCCATGCAGGTGGAATATACCAAATGTGTGTGCCTAACAGGAGTGAACTAGTATTGTTATTTAAATGTATCTACTGAACCTGAGCTCAGAATCTGCTTATAATCAACACAGAACTACATATGGTTCCACACAATGTTTTAAAAACTGTGAAATTACACAGAAAAAAATTAAAAGAACAAAAGCATCAAAGTCCATCATGTTAGTCTTGAATTAGATTTTGACACAATTTTTCTTCTGGAAGACCTCTGCCCTTGTTCAATTTACAAGTTAGACCAGAGTAAATGAGACACAGTGGCTAGAAGAAATGGGTGGGCAGGAAAGATACTAACTGCAAAACTAGAATCTGAGCCCAGATAACAAGTCAAACTAGTACATGGATCATATGACCTGCTGTGCTGGATTTAAAATATGAATTCATTTTTCAGAGATCTAAACTCTGGATTTTTATTTTATACATATCTTAATGAAAATGATAGTAGCAGTTTAATTTACAATGTAGAAACAAGGCCTTTTATTGTCAGTCTTTTTTCTGCTGGCCACTATATAATTCAGTTATTAGAAATTATAATTAGCCTTCTTTCTGTTTCATAAATTATGTTCACAGCTTCCATTATATTCAGAATGCATTGATGTGTATTTTTCTATCATCAGAACTCAGTATTACAAGATAATTGAAGAATGCATTTCACAGATAGTACTACACTGCAGTGGCATGGACCCAGATTTTAAATGTAGAGGAAGATTGGATGTAGACTTGACTCAACTTGTTGGTATGTAAACCTGAAGTAACTCGTCCCCTTTGTTTTCTTTGTAGTTTAGAACAATACTAGTAAAGATGAGTTACCTAAAGCAGAACTTGAAGTTTTGATATGTGATTTTGGGAATGAATACAACTTTTTTTCTAGACGTTCAGAGCTCTACTTTATTCTCTAGACTCTATAGGCAGATATGGCTGGGAAGTTAAGCTTTTCTATTGACAGCAATGGTCAAAGCACTACTTGGATTATAATTAGGGGTGGCTGGAAAGTAAAAAATTCAGTTTGTGAAAAATTTCAGTTTTTGGCATTGGTTTTCATTCTGTACCAGTAAGAAACAAAGATGTTTTAGTTTCCACAAAAAAAAGGGGGGGGGGGGGAGAGGTATGAGAAGGATAGAGACAACCCCAGAATAGCTATAGAAATGTTACCTCCCTCTCCCCCCCATCCCTCCTCTGTTCTGAAATTTGATTTGTCCTTTTCATATGTGTTCACTTTTTTTGATTGTGTCCCTTTGGTATATATGGTCATACCAATTTTCTTCCACAATTTGATCTGAGGAAGTTGGTCTGACCCACAAAAGCTCATCACCTAATAAACCATCTTGTTAGTCATTAAAGTGCTACATAGTCCAGAATAGCTAGTCTTCCAATTGTTAGGATGTTAACTTGGTTGTGGAAGACAGATTTACATCTTTATTCTGCCTGAGTGCGAAGGGAGATTTGCATTTGGGTCTAACAAATGCCAAGAGAGAGTGTGTTCTAATGTCTTGCTAACAGCTATTCTGGGATGCATCCCCCAGACTGGTACCATTCTACTTAGTATCAATAACTAGTTAAATATTTGTTGGCCTGTGGAGACCGACTTGATTCCAGAGCTCTGTGGGTTTTGTGCAACGTATCAGGGACTGAAACTGAGACCAGGGAACTATTCTCACTTGCATTCTCCACTGCCTGATGACATCCAGGTGGAATAGAGGTAAAAGCACTACCCTTACTAGACTCTAGAATGCAGAAGAGTGAGGCATTTGCCGTAGGGGATAGGAGCTGCGTGTGGGATAGGGTTGAAGACTGGACCAGGTCAGAAAGGAAAATGGTAAAAGGGATCACATTTGAGGAACATAGGATGGAGGTGTAAACACTAGAAAACATTCTTCTGTAGAACCTGGAATTAAATCACTCTGAAAGCATTGGCAAAATGTCATCTGGTGCTTATGGAAGAAGTGAACAAATACTGAAGTCAGTTACTCTGTCAGCTCAACTAGCAGACATCTGGGGTTTTGCTTTAAGGGTTCTAAAAATGTCTGTGACCTGTGTGTGGGGATCTTGATGGCTACACGTGATGGATTTTCTCTTTGGGTTTATTTTGGGGGACATAGACCAGGTGGGATAGTAGACAATTATTTAATGACAGCAGATGAAATACAAAGCGATATAATTTTGTAACTGTTATAACCAGGGCTCGACAAACCGCAGTGAAATCCACTCGCCAGCCCCGCACCAGGCATGTGCCAGACCTGCACTGCGCATGTGTGCACCGCCAGTGAACGGGGCGACCTGCTGAAATCTACTCACCCCAGGCGATTAGATAAACTAATTTGTCGAGCCTTGGTTATAACACAAATTGTCAAAGTATACAAAGTAAATATCCTTAAATCAAACTCACATACGTTTTCAAGAAATTTTTTCTTTCTTTGCCTATTTGTCAACTTCCATTATTATCATCAATGGAAATATTTTTTCATTGGTTTGTGTACATAGCAAAATCAAAATTGCCAATAAAAATCCTCCCAGTGCCTAGCCAAGATTTTTATAATGGCATCCTTAGACCAAATTAAATTATTAATCTCCTGTTTATTTTCCCCCCAAAATCATATCAGACTAGTCAAAAATTCCACTCTACTTCATACTCTGGATCTTAGGAGGGCATTAACATTTTAGCTAGATGGGACCAAACCATATAGTAAATCCACTGGAGTATTTGTATACATTGTGGATAGAAACAAGGGCTGAGTAATTTTAGGGTTATCAAAGTGGATCTTCAGTTGTATTAAGATTTGTTACAATAGAACTTGTGTTCTCTGTCCTCCTTTGACAGTGATACCACGTGCCACAAGAACAGTATCTACATCTATAGCTTTGATTAAGAATGTACCAATTGCAGACATTGATAGAATGGTAATTTGGTCCTTTGTCAATATTTTCTCTAATTTTTGTACCTTGGTGATAGCAGCGAGAACAGATGTTGCTGCAGGGAGTCCAGTTCGCTCTCCTGTGGTCCTCTGGTCTGAACCTCCTGCCTCCTTGCGGGGCATACTGCTTGAGACTTGCCTGGAGTGGATCATCTATGGGGCACTATTAAAGAAAGAGGGGAAATTACCCATTTTGTGCAGTAAATGGAATTCAAGACCTGTGGCTGCTCCATTACCCCATCTTGCCCTATGCTTTAGGAAATATTTTCTTGCCCTCTGTCAGGAAGTAGGTGTAGAACACGTGTACCTAAAGTAGAGAACCCACATTTACATGCATATTGAAGAACTTCAGTAGTAACTGGAGTTGTCTGAAGGTGCATGACTGTAGGTAAAGTAGGGCCCTGAATTCATGTGCTGCTATTCTCAGGTGAAAAATGGATAGGAGGGGAAAGCATACATTCAAAAATATGGTCATTAACACTTGCAAAATTAGTCCTGTCATTTTGAGAGAGGTGTCGTGTAGTAAAGAAATTGATAGGGGTGTCGTATTTGAGGAGAACTGGGGACAACTCCTCTTACCCAACTGCTCTATTTTTCTCTCCTTTTACTGCCACTGTCAATTTCCTAGCTTCTGCACCTTATTCTGGGGTTGTCAGAAGTGTTGCTAGGACAGATTACTGTGCAGAAATATGCTGGTTCTCAGAAACCATGATTGGGGAAACTTTACCTTCCTTGTTTTACCTTCTCCCACCTACCTCAAAGCCATGTTTAGGGCCATATAGGAGAATGCAGGAGACTTGCTGATCTTCCTTTTCCTTTTTTTCTTGCTGTCTACAGGAGAACACATTACTCATGTTGAGCTAATTTTTCCTCACTTAACATCAATAGATAATAGAAATGACTGTGAATGGACAATATTTAAGAGGCTAGGCAGGGGATACAGGAAAGTAATGGAAAATTTGTTCTCTTCCCACTGTGCCTAAGAATCACAAACTAAAGCTTTCTTGTAACTATGATTTTTTTTTTCTGTTTATCAGTAAGTTGAGTTTGAAAATGAATGCTAGGGACTTAACATGAAAAAAAATTGAAGGTGATAATTTTCCTGTTGTCTTATCTTGTAGTTTTAAAGTCTATTCAGAGTAGTTAATGCACTTACTTGATTTTTTTCCTATTGAACTAGTGAACTAAAAATCAAACTTTCTTTTTCAAACCTTAAGCAATAAAACAGTTCACAGATCTCAGAACTTCTGCTCTTTCTGTAATTAAACAGTATTAATTTCTGTAAGCTCTCATATTTTTGGAGTCTATTTACCAGTTTATGTAGGGGAAAACACTTATTTTTTGGTTCTACCATATCTTAATTTGAGTAATAATTTCCATTTCTAATAATAGTATAAAGAAAGAATGTTCAAGTGTTTCTTTTGAAGTAAACATGAACTCACTCAAAGGGAAAGATTTAATTGGAAATTAACATTAAGCCATAATGGAGGAAGGTAGTGGGCATAAGAAATTGGCTTCCTAGGTAACTATAGGCAAGTGGTTTTCTCTCTGTGCCTCAGTTTCAGTGTCTGTAAAATGGGCACAATGATAGAGCTGTACTTTGTAAAATGGTTTGAGATTGATTGAAACTTTATGTATCAACTTTATGTAGATATTAATTGTATAAAAATCTGTTCTGATTTTCTGTTAAAGCCTGTAAGGTAATCCTTACTTAAAATAGCATAATATGTAACTTTCATATATGAAAGGAGTTTTCTCAAGCATAACTACAGAAAGGGATGGCTGTGCGAATGTTGTAAACTTAATTAGGGGAAGAATTTCCTTATTGATTTACATCTTAAGTCAAATATATGGTGCTAGGTCAATGGAAATGAGAAGGGGGGGAAAATCACCTCATAAAATTTTGTTAAAGAGTGAATGAAAAAAATCATTTGACTCATGCTGAATTTCATAGCAGAATGTTACAGTTAAATTATTGGAAAATAAATTCAGTTTTCTAAGCAAAATGTAAAAATTTAGAATTATCATCATATTTCTAAGAAGTTTTATATTTGATTGTCAATTTAAGAGAGCTAGGAAAGGGAGGAAGAGTTCAAGAAAGATTTACATCTCTGGAAGATAAAAATGTAGAGGTGAAACTCTGAAATTTGGTTCTGTCGCAATTCATTGCATTTTGAAAATGTGTTGATTGCTTAGTAGTTTTTTACTGCCTTAACCAATTTTGTCTTTGTAATTGTATTAGATTCATGTGTGGACAAAGCAAAAGTAGAAGAAAGTGAACAAAAAGCAGCAGAATTTTCCAAAAAGGTAAGATCATAAATTAGTATTTAAGATCTAGACAATTGGAAATCTCAGATTAAAATGTGTTAAATCTTGTTCCCCACCTTTCAGCTTACATGGAAAAACTGATTTGCTGTTGTGATCAATATATACATAATATAATCCCTGTTACAGAAATGAGTTGATATATGAAGTCTCGTGTTCTTAGTTGCTTGTGTATATTAGCTTCAGACAAGAATAGGTGGTAGTTTTAAAACAAATAAAAGTTTTTCTTTACACAGCACACAGTCAACCTGTAGAACTCCTTGCCAGAGGATGTTGTGAAGACCAGAACTTTAACAGGGTTAAATTCATAGATAAATTCATGGAGCATTGGCCACTGTTGGAAGATGGCATACTGATTTAGATGGACCTTTAGTGTGACCCAGTATGGCCGTTCTTGTGTTAATAGGAGAAAAAAAAACACATGTATTGTAGACTTTACCTATAGTTTCTTTTTTAGGGAGATAGTAAGTCTATTTATCTCAGTGTGTACAGAAAATGATTGCTGTTGAGTTGTTCAGCATGTATTGGTTGTTTGAAAATTGTAATGTATACTTTACTTTGATATAGCTCAAAAGATGGTTTTATTTCCTTCCTTCATTGTTTCCTTAGTAAAGAGAAAAAGATGGAATTTTTGTCTTATTTCTCGTATGAGAGGTGGACTGTGATAAGATGAAGCTATGTTCTCTTGTTTCCCTTCCCTTAGTCTTTCTAGATTAAGTTCAGCAGTGTTCTTTCTGGAGAATAGATGTCTCAGATGAACATGAGCTAGTCTAAATTCAGATAATTTTTTCATGTTTTTCCATAATTAACTCTCTTTAGAGAGCAAAAAGAGCCTAGCGATTAATTTGTTGCTCCCCTGTAAGGCTGTGTCTAGGCCATATCTTTCCAGTTATACAATGTAAAGTTAAATCAGTTTCAGTAGGACCCCTTTAATGTTGTTGACTCTGTGGGCCATCAATACATATCTTCATAATGGCAACCAAATGCCTACATTACTTCAGTGCTAGTAAATAGCCAGAAGAACATTCCATTTCAGACCTAAAAATATTCTGACACTGCTATTTCACAACAAATATTTCTTAAATGTTAATCTTTATGATTTAATATATTTCTAAAGATGTCACGTTATAATAAAGACCCTCTATAAATTATTTATTTTTCATTTTAATTATTAGGAGCAGATTGTCTGTCTTTGAAATTTCTATATGAAGCATGGGTTGCTTATTTCTTTAAATTTTTTTTAGTAGTTTAGTAGTTATTTTAGTAATTTTGTTTTCTCAGAGTTGGTGGCAGTGTTAATTATTTTCCATGTCCCATCAGAAACTAACATTCACTTACATTAAATAATGATAAAAAACACATTAAAAAGGGGACCTGTAAAGTTTCCATTTCAGGCCTTTTTGGATTCTGACTTTTTGGATACAGCAGTGCTGCACTGGCACAAGCTTTCAAAGTGTGGGCTAGTAAAAAAATTACAATCGCTTAAGTAACACCTAACTTTTTTATTACTGTACTGAAAACAAAAGCAAGTGATGATAATGGTCAAGAGGTTAAGAAAAGGGAAAAAAAGATGAGTTTAAGCCAGAAAGTTGAATTATTGGATGAGTTTGAAAGTGGTCATAGTGCAGCTTCAGCAGCTATAATGCATGGCATCAATGAGTCTACTGAGCGTTATATTAAAAAAAAAGGAGAAAAATGTAAGTGACAGTGTTACTGTAGCTATGTCAGCTTGTGTCATGTGTGAGCTGTAATCCAATAATGAAACAATGGAAAAGACATTAAGCATTTAGATTGAAGACAGGGCAAAGAAATGAGCACCTGAGAATGGTGTAATTTAAGAAGCGTTGAGCTTTTGTAAGCATTTTTCTCAAGTATCAGGTGATGAGGAGACAGCAAGCAAAGGGTGGTTTAACTAATTTAAAAAGGCATAGTTTACATAATGTGAAATTAACGTGGGAATCAGAATCAGCAAACCATAATCCATCATGGGATTATCCTTTGCAGCTTCCCATCACAATGTTCCTTTGAGACCCCACCTGTGTTATTTCCTCCTCACCCCCAATTGTGGAAGAATAGTAAGATTCTCAGGGAGCAAGTTCAAAACTGTTTTGGGTGATGAGTTGAAGTTGAAGTTACTCAAGTTACTTTAAGTATTTCAGGTTCATATAATTTCAAAGGAAACTGAAATGTTCAAAAAGTCTTGCTAAAGGTTATAACTTGGAAACTGCTAGGGTGGGGGAAGGAAGGCATTTCAGCAAGTTTACAGTGACAATTTACACTGTGTAGCTGGATCTATACACATTTTAGTGGCCTGAAGTTTTGTGTTCTGTAGTTTTCCAATCAGTCATGCAGTATAATGAACTACAAAATCTTTGTGTTGCTTTATTCATACTATTGCTTTAAGCCTTCCTGAGACTATAGTATTTAGTGTGAGCATAGATGGATGAATGATTTTATGGTGGTAATCATTGCAGTTTGATGAAGAATTCACAGCTCGACAGGAGGCACAGTCTGAACTTCAGAAACGAGAGGAGAAAATCAAAGAGCTTGAAACAGAAATTCAGCAGCTACGAACCCAGGTAATTAAATGACATACAGACTTTATATCATGTTACGTTGAGTTGCACAGTAGTTACATTGTTAGAATGAAAGAAAAATTGCCACCAAGAACATTGTGTTGGATGACAATTGAAAAATTTCTTTTAAATTCATATTGATTGTAAAACTAGAGTATATAGGGTATAGTGTTATGAGTATTTTTCACAAGAACATGTAGGATACACTCAGACGTGGAGCCCAGAAGGGACCATTGTGATAATGAAGTCTGACCTCCATATGTTGCAGCCGATGGAATATCTTCTATCTACTCTTGTAATAGATGCACAACCACTGTCTGACTTACCACAATCTTCAAGTCATGATTTGAAGACTTCAAATTACAGAGATTCCACCATTCACATTTGTTTAAACCTACAAGTGACCAAGTGATCAAGTGGAGTGCCCCAAGGGTCCATTCTAGGACTGGTTTTGTTCAACATCTTTACTAATGACCTGGAAGAGGGGATGGATTGGACCCTCAGAAAGTTTGCAGATGACACTAAACTAGGGGGTGAAGTAAATATGTTGGAAGGTAGGGATAGGGTCAGAGTGACCTAGATAAATTGGAGGATTGGGCCAAAAGAAATCTGCTGAGGTTCAACAAGGACAAGTGTTGTAGTCCCAAGTACTACTGCAGGCTGGGGACTGACTGGCTAAGCTGCAGTACTGCAGAAAAGAACCTGGGGATTTCAGTGGATGAGAAGCTGGAGCTGAGTCAAGAATGTGCCTTATAAACAGGAAGGCTATATGGTGTATTTGGATGCATTAGGAGGAGCATTCCCAGCAAACCTAGGGAAGTAATTATTCCCCTTTATTTGGCATTTGTGAGGCTACATCTGGAGTACTGTGTCTACTTCTGGAGCCCCCATTAAAGGATGTGGATGCATTGGGGAGATTTCTAGCAGAGGGCTACAAAAATGATAAGGGGGCTGGAGCACATGACAGGAGGAGAGGCTGAGGGATTTGGGCATCTATAGACTAAATAAGAGCAGAATGAGGCAGGATTTGAAAGCTGCCTTTAACTACTTGAAGAGAGGGTCCCAAAGAGGATGGAGAGAAGCTGTTCTTATTGGGGATAGATGACAAAATGAGAAATTAAGTGGGAGGATATCAGGAAAAATTATTTCACCAGGAGGGTGGTGAAATACTGGAATGGGTTACCCAGGGAGGTGTTAGAATCTCCATTCCTAGAGGTTTTCAAGTCCCGGATTGACACAGCCCTGGCTGGCATGGTTTAGTAGGGATTGGTCCTGCTTTTAGAGGGGATTGGACTCCCATGACCTCACTTCCAACTCTGTGAGTCTATGACATTTTTAATTTATTAATCATTTTTCATAAGGTTTTCAAACTACAGAAAATTAGCAAATGGAACTACCTAGTATAGCTTACCAATAATGTAGGTTGAAAAACAATTCCTGTCAGCTCTTCCATGTGTGGATTTGTAATCCTCAAGTTGAAAAAGGAAAAAATGTGGAGATTTGTTACTACTGAGTATTGGAATCAGAATTCCTCCTTAATATATTTTATGAGCATATATCACTTTCTTTTCCCTCAGGAGGCACATTATAGGGCAAAAAACATTGTGTTCATTTTTTTTACCTGACCATTTTAGCTTTTTCTTCCATTATTTATACAGAGTATCATTTGGCATTCATAAAACTTAAACAAGAGCTGCATAGTGATTTTTGTTGAAATAACTTGGAATTCATGTTGAGTGATGTGTGTAGAGTTAATGAAAGTCACTCCTAATCACATGACATTACATATACATGTGGCAAAATCAATTCACACACTTCTATATAAGTAAACCTTAGGTGCAAACAAACACATGTATATTTTATATGGAAACTAAATTCTCTGAAACGTCACTCTTCCCCACTCCCTTCAGGTTTTCTCTCTCAGAACCAAAACAATGCCAATCCCTTTTCCCTCTGCTTTTATATTGATTCTACATTTGAAGCCCCTCATTGCAACTCTTCTTTCACTCTGGGTAGGTTACATAGGACTTCCTTTTTGGAACTCATAAGCTCTGCTGTATAATCAGCCAGAGCTACTGCTGTTAAGCAACATAAGCACTCAAGAAAGGGGCGGAGCCTACTCTGAAGGGCCTAAATCTGATGCTAGGCTCTATGTTGTAATATTTTAGTGCTTGATTTTTCTAGAACAGTTACACAAACATATTATACTGTGTAGTTAGATTTAGAATGACTAGGTTTTTACTGGTAAATATTAGTAAATGTAGATTTTGCTATATACATATAATGATGACAAATATTTCCATAAATGACTAAGAAAATTTTGAGGGTTAAGATTAGAAAAACACTGCTTGAGGATTTAGAGTTTTATATTAATTATATTATTTTACATACTTTGGCGTGTAACATTGCAAGTTTTTGTGTTTGGTTATAAATTTGTTTTTAAAGTAAATATTAGTAAATGTAGATTTTGCTATATACATATAATGATGACAAATATTTCCATAAATGACTAAGAAAATTTTGAGGGTTAAGATTAGAAAAACACTGCTTGAGGATTTAGAGTTTTATATTAATTATATTATTTTACATACTTTGGCGTGTAACATTGCAAGTTTTTGTGTTTGGTTATAAATTTGTTTTTAAACAATTCAAAGATGAAAATTATTTTGTACAACTCTGAAAATGTAAATAAAATTGAAAGAAACTTATCCATTGAAATGATGAAAAAAGAAAACTGAATTGTCCCAAACTTATTGATAGCTGATGAAACAAAATTAGTTTAGACTTCAATAAACGTCTGAATAATTTCACAATTAAGATAATTACACTTTGGGAATACTAATATTAGAATTGGTTCCAAGCAGCTGGGCAGGAATTGCTCAGGACTTCTGGTATGTCCTTTGTGATATTTTTTTCTTCTGGATTCAATGAAGGATAACAGATAACAAAAAGCAAAATATAATGCTACTCCTACTTATGCATGAAAATTATAATTCTACTGTTCCTTCACATGCATAGCACTGTTCCCTCTAACATTTTCTGTCATTGGGCAGGTTGAAGTTTCTTTTGGCGGGTTAAAATTTCTTACATGCAACACCAATATTGAGGTAATGTGTGGATGTGCACCCGCAATAAAATTAAACACGCACAAGTGCGCGCATATACACACATGCATATTTTAAGCAGTTCATATGTGTAGAAGACAATATATTAAAATAAGGCACCTGTGTCTAGTTGCTGAGAGGTACTGTTAGTGACTACAGAGATGCTGTACAAAGGTAGGGAATTAGACTTTTTCCACTTGAGGAAAAATAGAAGCCCCAGAACAAATTAACACATGGGTTCAGGGTTTGTAGACAGATACATAGGTCAAAGAGCTTGCAGATGAGATTTCAGCCTACAAAACTAGCATCACACCTATTATTTGCTAATTTTGAGTAATAAGAGTCAGAACTCTACCACATACGTTGATGCGTTTGTAAGTTGGGGACCGGCTGTACATGTGATAGGTGGGAGGGAAAAAAAAAGAGGTGAGCATGTTTAAAAAAAAAAAAAAGAGTGACTGGCTGTAGTCTTCCCCTTCCTAGCCCATGAGGGTTGAAGAGACTGCTCGGTTTCTTCCTCTGTCTTCCTCTCCCTCTCAGGCAGATGGGACTCTCCAAACTCCCCTCTCCTCTGACATGCCCCTAAGCTAATTAATTACTACCTCTCCTCCCCCCTCTCTTCTCCAGACACTTATTTTATCCTTATCTTGCCTATTTATCTCATCTGCTTATTTGCTCTGGGAGCGCTTCAGTTTAGCATGTGGCAGCATTTAGGTGCTATCTAGCAATGCCCTGTCCCCCACCAATCAGCTGAGCTCCCTGCTTGCTTGTGGAGTTTTGAGCCTCTGCGTGGGGCTCAGAAAATAGCTGTATGGTCATGCAGCTGTGCAACTTAGAGGGAACTTAAATGCACAGCAGCCATATTAGCACCCAAATAAATGGAAACATTGTTTGGGTGATGGCTAACACTGTTTGGTTAGCCATAAGGAGGTGGTTCTTCCAGTAATATGCATCACTGTAGATTCCACCCTAAATAGATACCAATGTATCGTGTGTGTGAAATGAGTTTTTTTTAATGGCAGTGTCTGATTGGGCCATGCATGAAATCTGTGCCAACCTCAACTTGTAAGAAGGGAATAAATAATTTGATAGAGAGCCTGGTTATTTTCGGTAGTCAGTGTTGGCTTAGAAAAATTTTGTTGACAGACCTGTTCTGAGCAGGACAGCATTTGCTAAATGAGCATTGTTGTCTAAATAGAAGAGTTTCTCTGGCCCAGCATGGTCCAAACCTCAATACTGAAGATTATCCAACTACTTGTTACACTAGAAACTTTAATAACTCCATTAGAGTCCACCTAATTACAGTCAGAGTACCATCTTCCTTTACAATTATACTTGATCCTTCTCAACTTAGTACTGAAGTTTCTTCAGAGACCTTTTCTCACATTAGGCAGAAAAACTTCTTTTCTAGGATCTTACTGCAGTTCATGGTGCTTCTGAACCTCTCTCAAAATACTACTTTTACTACCGTACTATGATGTCACTCTCTCTAGTGTTTAAGTGAGCTGAGAGAGTGAGTTACAGCGTTTGAAACCTACATGACACTTTATAGGTACATGGTAGTGCTAAAAGCCTTACATAAAAGTTAATTATAGTAAGCATATTCATGCCATTCTTTTGTTTTGAATAATAACAAAAAAATGGATCATAGTGTTTGCATGCTCAGGGTCTTGTTTCTTAAATTGTAAGTGAGTAAATTAACAGAAAAAGTCTGGGAAGTTAAGTTGGATTGCAACAGACTGAATTCTGGTGAGGACTCAAGTTAGTGATATATTTCAGACAAAAAAGTCTCAACGGTGCTTTGTGCCTTTTTCATCACTTCACTACAATCACCTTAAGTTTCAGAGTGTCACAGTTACAGGAGCTTATTATATAGCAGAGGTGGGCAATAATTTTTGCAGGAGGGCCACTTAATGAATTTTGCTATGGGGCCACTAGCTGGCTCCACTGCTTCTCCCCTGAAAGGGCAGTCTGGGGATTAGCCTCCACCCAGAGTTGTCTGGAGCCAGAAGCTTTGAATTAAATACATAGCAGAGGGTTTGTGGCTCCCAGCCCTGCCGCTACTGTGTAGACTGTCAGTTGCCCAGGGTTGTTGCAGCTATGTAAAAGACTCATGGCTCTGGCCCCTGCCAGGGTAGCGCAGAGACCATGAGCTGTGAGCCATTTAAATAGGATCCTGCTGCCCAAGACTTCACCTGGAAATTAGAAAGAGGCCAGATGCAAGGATTGGATCAAAGTATTAAGTGGCCCAGATCTGGCCCCTGGGCTACATCTTGCCCGGCTCTGTTACATAGGTTCTTTAAATTTTTGGTAAAATTTTCAAAATAAATGCTAATGGAAGAGGCATTCTTAAAGCACTACAAATCAAGTCATGCAGTAAACAAAAATAGTACAAACTTGTACATTATTGTGGAACATATGAACATATTGTAGCAAAAAGATGTGTAAATTGTCCTTTGTAACTCAGAGACTAAGAATCTTTTATGCAAAAGTTGCCAGGATAACCTATTCTTTCTGTAATAAAAAGAGAGGTTAATTTCTAGTACATAAATTAGTGCTGTTGGGTCACTTACCATTACAAGACTCCAGGACCCAGAGCCCGGTGCATAAGTTGGTAGCAGGGGTAGTTCATGTCGTAGTTTTTTTTCTCAAGATCAAAGTTTCTTGGTCAAAGTATAGGTAAGATCCAGAGTCCAAAGAAAATTATAAAAAAAACCCGCTCAGTATATTAAAATTTAAATAACACTATTGAAAATTTGGGGAATAGTGGTTGGTCTGTTAATTGTGTTTCTGAATTCTAAGCCTGACACTCTGACTTGATATTTGTTCCTGGACAAATGCAAAATAGAAAAAGAAATCACTTGCCTAACAGAGGTGTTGGATTAAGTGGCATGTTTTAAATGGAAGTGTGGTGCCTTAGTGTCCTTTTTCTTTGAAAATTTCCCCCACCTGGATAGTGTTTGTAATATGTACAGTAAGCATTAATGTTGATTTTTATTTGTGACCTTTGGAATGTCCTGATTATCCGACTTTTATGAAGGAAATATTTATGTGATCATGGTAATAGTGAAAACTAAGCAATTTGTTTACGTATAAGCTACAAGCGCTATTCTACTGCAACCAATGTGTAGTGGGGTATTATGCAGCAACTACTAATTAAAGTAGATAACCTAGCATTTTTGTTGATCTAGCAAAAGCCGATTAATGTCATCTGGAACAGATTCATGTGAAATCCTGCAAAGTATGGGGGGAGGGGAGGATGGTAATCATAGGTACTTCTAGGGCTGGGAAATATTTACATTTTAATGTAAGAACTGTAAAAATGACTTGTCATAAATACATGGTATGGTTTAAAAATGTTTTTCTGAGTACTTGTATAACTGAGAAATGCTGTGCTGGTTATCCTGAAGTAAGAGACAGCTCTGACATAGAAATAGCCTGGTCCATTTAAGTTATTTAAGAAAGGGTTTTTTTTTCCACACTTAAAAAAAAAATTACCTCATCCTGTTTAAATTTCAGGGTCCACTACTTACAACTGGTCAGCCTACATCAGGGGCTCCTCCTCCCCCACCGCCCCCGCCGCCACCACCACCACCTCTTCCAGGTTGTGTGGCTCCATCACTTCCCTTACACTCTGGACTCATACCCCCACCTCCACCTCCTCTGCCTGGAGGAAGTGTACCTCCACCACCGCCTCTGTTTGGTGGACCTCCACTACCACCACCTCTCGGGGGCATACCTCCTCCTCCTCCAGGAGCTCCTGCATCACTGCCTTATGGAATGAAGGAAAAGAAAAAGTATAAACCTGAGGTGTCTATGAAGAGAATCAACTGGTCAAAGGTACCTATGTGTTTTTTCTCTTTATTATTTTGTTAAATTTGAGAGAAAAGAGAGTGCAATTTGTGGAGATGATACAAAAAGGCAACAAAGCCATAGGAGGATTAATTTTGTTTGTGCTGCAACCAGAGATTAAAACCAGGCAGTTTGTGAGAGACATAGTTTCTGGATAATTCAGTTTTGGGCGAATGGATTGTAGCTCCAGCACCTTGCAGGTTGACTTGTACTTCTCCCCTTCTCTAGAGGATACTTGGTAAATACTTGGTTGTTTTGGCTGTGTGCTGTTTTCCAGTGTTTGTCCTTCAATAATCTTGACAGTAAATAGTTTTAGTCTTTAACTGTTTATCTTTTAAAACATTTTCTTGTTTTATGAAATTTAGAACAAATGACTTTTAATATTTTTGTGCCAATGTTTTATACAAGCTTATTACCATAATTTTCTATCTAAATGTCTGAATTTTAAAACAATTTACTGCAAGGAATCTCTCATGGGGCGTACCTGCCCCCTTTATGCTCTCGCTCCATCATTAGTTGAGTACAGTGTGGCTGACCACCCCTGCCTCAGTTTTCCTTTCTGAATTTGCTCTAATCAGTTTTCCAGACAGCAGCCTGTGCAGGCACTATGACTTAGTCCTCTGGCCAGCTGCTAAACAAAGTTAACCTCTTCAGAGTGGCGAAACTCCAACTAAAATGTCCCAAACAGTCAAAGTGCCTTAGCTCTTCAAAGCGTCTCTTCCCAGTCCTTTACAGAGCTGAGCTACCTTTTGAGGATCCTTTCTGTTGCTCTGGTTTACAGGGCTGGCCTTAGGCCAATTGGGCTGAATCCGTCCCCGCGCCTAAGGAGGCCCCATGCCCCGGAACCCGGAAGTGTGCCGGCGAGTTACTATTCAGAGCCAGGGCCCTGCTCCAGCAATATGTGAAGCTGGGTCTCTCCCCCGGCTCTGCCTGGAGCGGGCTCCGGATCCCCAGTGCATTCTCCCACCCCACCCCCAGAGTGTCCCCCTCGGCCCCGGACCATCCCTGCCGTGCGCAGCTCCTCCTCGCCACCTGTTGCTGCCCATGTGCGGTGTTGTACGTGGGTGGGGAGGACGCCCAGGTGTGACGTGATGTCACGGCAGATTTTAAAGCTCCTGGGAGCCACGTTGCGGGGCGTGGCCTAGCTCCGGGTTTGGACTCCGGGGCCTGAGTGCAGATTCCAGCACCACAAAGTGGAAGGCAGAAGGTAGGAAAGGGGCTTGGGCAGAGAAGGAGGGGATTGAGGGGGAGGAGGAGGAAGAAGAAAGGGGAAGGCACGAGACACGGTGGAGGAGAGTCAAATGGCAGGGCGCCAAGTGCAGACAATGAGGGAAAGGGCAGGAGGGGAGGTGTCAGTGGGAGGCGGGACAGGGTGATGCTGGGAGAGGAGAGGGGAAGGGCCTTGGGGGCTAGAGTGGGAGGGGGAGGTATAGGGAGAAGGCTTGAAAGAAGGGGTGGGCATGAGAAAGGTGTGGATGGAGCAAGTCATGTGTGAGGGCACAGAAAGACAGGAGGTGATTGGGGCAGAGAGTGGTGAGGGGGTAGGCAGGGAAAGAATGATTGTATAAACTTTTTAGAGCACATGTAAACCATGCTTTGGAGTTTTCGGAAAGTAGTGCTTCAATACTTTTAGCATGCTTGTTAGGTTTACAAAGTGTTTTATGGTATGTGCATAAAATCAAATGTAGTTTTGTGTACTTTGAATGTTGCCATATGCACCCTACCGATACTCAGTAAATTACAGCTCTCTGTATATAGGAGGATGACCGTAATTAGTCCACATCATAGTTATTGTTGAGCTTCTTCAAATGGAAGAAGTTATGAAAAAAATGTTGAGCTGGAGGATAAATATTGTTGTGAAAAATAAGGAAAGTTGAGAGAGAAACATTTGTTTGCAGCTGGAGGTATAAACATTCATCTAAGCAAACAGTAGAATGCCCTCTAAATTACTGCTGGGATGTGTTTTGGGAGTAAAAGTAATTCTGAAATCTGGAGTCAAGCCGTCACTCTCCATTTAGAAGAAAGAACTGAAGATTCTGCAAGAACCGCAGCGGGTTAGATGTGGGCAGTGTATGTCACTTTGCTGTGTAACAATACCAGGCTTTGAGAGCAGACAGTTCTACAGCACAAGGAAGATAATGCAGGATATGAGACTATAGCAAGTCATGGGTTGTTGGACCCAACTGTTGAAGGATAAAGAAGATTATGAGGACAATTAAGTGGACAGTACAGGGTAGTCCCCAGGTTACGTACAAGATAGGAACTATAGGTTTGTTCTTAAGTTGAATCTGTATGTAAGTCGGAACTGGCGTCCAGATTCAGCCGCTGCTGAAACTGACCAGCGGCTGACTACAGGAAGCCCGAGGCAGAGTTGCTCTGGCCCGGGCTTCCTGGAATCAGCCACTGATCAGTTTCAGCAGCAGCTGACTTGGGGACACTTGGGGTTCTTAAGTTGAATCTGTATGTAAGTCGGAACTGGCTTCCAGATCCAGCCGCTGCTGAAACTGACCAGCGGCTGACTACAGGAAGCCCGAGGCAGAGTTGCTCTGGCCCGGGCTTCCTGGAATCAGCCACTGATCAGTTTCAGCAGCAGCTGACTTGGGGACACTTGGGGTTCTTAAGTTGAATCTGTATGTAAGTCGGAACTGGCTTCCAGATCCAGCCGCTGCTGAAACTGACCAGCGGCTGACTACAGGAAGCCCGAGGCAGAGTTGCTCTGGCCCGGGCTTCCTGGAATCAGCCACTGATCAGTTTCAGCAGCAGCTGACTTGGGGACACTTGGGGTTCTTAAGTTGAATCTGTATGTAAGTCGGAACTGGCGGTCAGTTTCAAGACGCACCGCGGTCCCGCCGCCCGGGTCCTCCGCGGCTTTGCTCCGCGTCGCACGTGGGCAACGGGATAGCCCAGACGCGCCGCGGCTGTCCCACTGCTGGCGTTCTCCGAGGCTTTGCTCCTCATCTCCCTGGTGCAGTCTCCCTTGTCTGCTGGGGGAGCAGCTTTTCTCGCCTGATAGGACGCGGGCGGCGGGGCCGCGGCGCATCTGGGTGTCCCGCCGCTCCCATCCTCCGGGTCAAGAAAAACCCCGTTTGTAACTGCGGATCCGACATAAGTCGGATCCGCGTAACTCGGAGACTGCCTGTAATGCTCTTTGCTAAGTAGTTTAATAATTTTGTGCAAATATGATACCTAACAGTGGCATACTGTCACAAATCGAGCAGCCCCAAAATAGAACACATTAGTGGATAACTAAAATGTTTCATTGGTTGGCTACGTTCCTGGTCACACTTCTAAATGATTGGGAAACACATAGTCACATCTCCAGCCCAGCTCTCAAGATGCTTCCTCTGTGGTCAGATGTACTGGGAAAACATTTGTAGTTACATACCTGTGCAATGTAGGTGGTCTTGAGGTTATAGCACTTGACTGGCACTAAAAGGATCTTGGTTCATTTTTGCCAGAGATGTTCTCTTATAACCATGATATAGTTACTTAATCCTAATGCCAGAGTTCTTAATCTGTGTCATGGCAATAGCCCTCGTTTATTCAATACCCAGTTGCATCAGGCCCTTCCTGAGGTATTTGTTTATTGCTTCTCTGAACAAAACTGGCCTAGAGCCTTTATACCCAATGATGGAAGTGATCAGTTGAATGCATGATCTCAATGTTTCAGACTATGATGTAAGATTAACTTTGACTCCACTGCAAATGTGAGACGTTGCAAAATGAAATTACTTCCTTCTTCTGGAAGAAAGACCAAAATGGGCCCATTGTAGCACTATTCTGTTTGCAGATCAAAGTGATGCTTTCAGTTCTGTGGCAAGTTCTGTTATAGTTTAAAAAATAAAAAGGTCCAGTAGGCTGATATAGCTATATAGTACCTTAAAACCTTAATCTGAAGTTATATATCTTGTAGATTTATATAATGAGAATATATTTATATTTACCATTTTCAGTGTCTAGCCAGATGAATAGAATGCTTGAGGATATTAAAATAATTCTGAAATGTAGCATTTACACCATAAACTTAGTTTTTAAAATTCTGAACTTTAAACTAAAATTAAAAAAGAATCAAGATCTAAATAAAAGGCTAAGCATTCCCTTTCCATTTTGTATTTGTTGCACAGTGACCATCTTGAAATACATTTGTACTTTTCATAGAATGTTCTTTTCTTGCCCCTTCTATACTTTCATGTTTTAGTAAATTAATATCTCTGTGTGAGAGCATAAATGTTTGTGATCTTTCCCTTCTTTAGTGCAAGAAGGTGCTGTCTGGATTTCTGTTATTTACCACTTTATTCTTCCCTTTTAAGCTTCTGTATTGAGTTAGCCAATATTACTGTTGCACCTAGATCAATTTCCTCGTATTAACAGAATGCCAAATCATTCGGGTGTCTTGGTATATTTTACTTGTGAGGCCTTAAAATTTCTGGGCTGTGTTTTTGAGGTGAGTGGTTATACAACACTTTCCATCTTACCATGACTAATTTAGCAGTGCTCTGCTTCCAGGAATCTCAGACTTGAACATATTCCTTACGTTCTGAACTGTCATTAGACTTCTTGATTTTCCATCATGAATGTTTTAATTAAACTAGTGATAGGCACAAAAATGAGTTGACTCAAAAATACTGTAGCCTGCATCTAATGATCTAAAATACATTTAATCTTAAACTACTTTCCATTTAGAAATCCTGATGCCTTTGTTTCCCCAAAATGTTATTCCTTTTGCTACTAACAAACGAACTGTATCTTAGGTGAGAGTGTTTGTTACCGTTTTTTTTCTGGACAGACATTTGCAGTATGAACTCAATTTTTTGATAATTTTTATTTTTTTAAGTTTATTACTGAGCACATACATTGATAAATGAAATTCATACTTTTGCTGATATGTAGAGCTTGCGAACAGGTGACTGCTAACAGGGAGTTTAGAGAGGGAGTTCTCCAGGTAAAGGAGAAATAGATACAGGACTCTTGAGGGAAGTATGTGTTGT